AACGCTGCCGGGGTGGATGGGGACCAGGGTTGGCTGGTGGAGGGAACGTGGGACGCGGTGGCAGCCATGTGGTTTCAGAGCGCCTGGCACCCGGGGACACAGCCAGTGTGGTGATGGGCATCGACTTCTGTGACTCCACCCAGGCGGCCAACTTCCAGCTGTGGTGAGTGCCCAGCACAGGGCAAGACAGGACAGGTGTCCCAGGGGATGGGGACATTGTGGGGTGCTCCAGGGATAGGGGACAGCGGGGCAGGGCATGGGTGCTCCAGGGGATGGGGAAAGGGGAATGGGCACCAACGTCCCTCCAGGGGACTTGGGGCAGCAGGGGACAGGTGACAGCCAGATAGGGCATGGGGTGCCCCAGGGGACGGGGGAACAGCAGGACAGGGCATGGGGTGCCCCAGGGGACAGCAGAACAGAGTATGAGGTGCTCCAGCACATTGGGGACAGCCAGACGGGCACCAACATCCTTCCAGGGGATGGAGGACAGCAGGAGAGGCCCCAGGGGACAGTGGAACAAGGTCTCTCTGGGGAATATGGGACAGCAGGATGGGCACCAGGGTCCTTCCAGTGGAGGAGGGACACCAGGATAGGTATGGTGTGGTCAGGGGACAGCAGGACAGGCACCAAGCTCCCTGCAGGGGACAAGGAGGCGGCAGGAGCCCCAGGTCCAGCCTGACAGGTTCTCCCTATTCCCAAGGCCTTTTGTGCCTCAGTTTCCCTCCAGCCACCCCCTGCCCAGGGCAGGGATGGGAAGCGGGACACGGAGGGGGGGACATTTTGAGCATGTATCTCCCTCACCCACTTGTCTCCTCCTCACCCGCCTGTCTCCCCAGCACGCACACGCGCCACTTCTACGTCTCCATCCAGCCGCCCGTGGGGGAGCTCATGGCCCCCGTCTTCATGAGCGAGAACGAATTCAAGAAAGAGCAGGGTGAGTGGGGGATGGGAATGGGGACAGGGACAGGGTGGCACGTGGGCACCCAGCACCAATGCTCACCCCTCATTTTGTCCCCTCTGCCGCCCTCGCCGTGGCCCTAGAGCACCTCACGCGGCCGGGCGAGGGTAAGTGGCCGCTCAGTAGGCCCCTAGACTAGCTCTGTTCCCCTTGTCCCCCTCCTGCACCCCGCAGCCTGTGGGTTGAGGTCACCACCCTGGCTCCAGGGTGGTCCCGCTGGGTCCCTGCACAGCGCAGAGGGCTCGTGCCAGCCCTGGCACTCCCAGCACCGTGTCCGGTGAGTGACGGAGACACCCTGGCCCCACGTCCCCATACTCCTGGAGCAGCAACATGCCCACCCTGGCCCCACCAATGGAGGTCTGCGCTGAGCGGTGGGTGCTCGGTGCCACCCAGCACCTGGCCCCATTGCTGCTGGTGACCAAAGAAGCCCGTCCTCAGGGATGTGGCTGCTGCTGCTGGGCAAGGACACAGGGACAAGCCTGGGAAGGGCTGTGGAAAACGGATTTTCCCAAAGCTGTCTCTGCCAGGCTGGAGAGGAGCAAGCAGGGCAGCCAGTTCAAGATGTTGTGGGGGATCCGGATTTGGGGAGCCGGCGGCTGGAGGGGCTCGGTTTGGGGATGGCAAAATGAGGCTTGGCAGGGACATGGCCCCTGGGTGAGTGGCCAGAGACGGGCAGGTGCCTCTGCTGCCTGTTCCAGGGAAACTGACAGGCATGAGCGAGATCACGGAGAAGCTGACACTGCCCGAGAAATGCCGGAGCGACCACGCCATCGTCCAGCAAGTGACCTCAGCTGCCAACGTGGGCCGTGTGCCCTGCGGTGCCGACAACGAGTACAGGTAGCCAGACCCCCACACCAGCACCAGGCAGGCACTGTCACCTCTTCAGTCCCACCCAAATCACAGCGGGGACACTCAGGGCTTCCTTTAGGACAAGGAGGCTGCGTGAACCCACATGTGATGGTGGCTGTGGGTGGCAGGCGCCTCCCCAGTCCACAGCGGAGCATCCCAGGGGATAGGAGGGTGACGGGGGCACAGCTCACCCTGAAGCCCTGTGTTTGCTGGTGGGCAGGTTCGCAGCCAAGACGGTGACCAGCGGGAGCCTGGTGCTCATCACCCTGGAACGAAGGGAGGGCGCCGCGGCCCAGCTGACCGTCAACAGCGAGAAGATGGTTATCGGCACCATGCTGGTGAAGGATATCGTCCAGGCCCTGGCGCAGTGACAGCCGGGTCCCGTCGCACCCACAGTCTTGCCCTCCGACCCCACTCTGCCCCACACCGCTCCCAGAAACACTCCCTGCCCCGATTTCTGCCAGGTTGTTCCCCACTGGGAGGAAAGAGAGGGACAGGGCAGATGGGGGCACAGGGTGATGTCCCGCTCAGAGAGGCGGCAGCAGCTCCAGCCCCAACAGGAGTACAGCGTGCCACCATCCCCTGGCCCCTCACCACCATCTCCCAGTGTAACCCCTATTTATTATGGCCAGGATCTCCCAATAAAGCTCTTCTTGAACCCGCTTCCCTTCCCCTCCTCTGCTCTGTGTGCACAGTGGCTGGATCAGCCCCAAACTGTCCCCACACCAGGCTCTGCCAGCCTCCCCCGCATTGGGCTGCGGGGACATCAGGGCCATCCCTTAAGGAACTGGGGACACTGGAGTCCCTGGGGGTGGCACTGCTTGAATCGGGTGGCTGCTGGCTCTTGGAGAAAACCCGGCACCAAAACGCAGGGCTGGGGTAAACCCTCCTGGGGCTTAGCGCAGGGTGGGAGGCGTTCAGTGCCGACCAGGGATCTGAGGAGTCCTGGGAGGTTTCCAGCTATTTATTCAAAGCAGAATTGCTCATGCTTTGACCGCAGAAATACCTGCTACGTCAGGGCTGGATCTATTCTGCAGTGTCACTGGAGGGATTCCTGGGGCCGGCTCTGGGAAGCTTTTCATCTCCAAACTGGTAGGGAAAAAAAGAAAAAGGAAATTTGACTCTTTATCAAGATCTCTCCTCCCAGCACGGGTTGGGTGGGATTTAAGAGCCCCGGCTCTCCATTTCCAAAGCTGCAGCCCAGCAGGGAGCCAGGCCCAGCACTGGAGGGAGAGGATGAGCAAAGGACGCAGGGGAAGGCCTGAACCCCACATCACCTTGACTCCGACCCCTGCTGCTTCTGCAAAAAGGGTGAGGGGCTTTCTGCTTTTTCCAGCGGGTGGGCAGGAGATGGGATAAAATCACCTTGACGAGGAGTGAAGAGACGCTGGCCAGAGTGGCAGCACTGGGCGTCAAGCGTTTGTTCCAGCAGGGAAAAAAAAAATGAAAAGAGCCCATTTCCACAACGACGGGAGCCAGAACCGCCATTGCTCAGCACTGCCTCGCCCCCTCGGGGTGTGGGGTGTGGGGGGGAGATGAAGCTCGGCAGCACCGCCACCGCCCTCACTGCCCTGTTTTACCCCTCCTCGGGGGTGACATTCCCCTCACGGGATCCATCCGAAGCGTCGTGAGGCGCCGCCGCCTCCTCCTCCTCCTCCGGGCGGGAAGGGCCGCGCGCGCCCCAACACCCCCCGC